TCAAAATGTCTGATAATTGTTGGAAAAATAAAATTACTTTACAGAGAATACAAATGATGATACAAATATACTTTTTTTTTTAAATAAAGTATTTTCTTGGAAAGCCGGAAGCTGTGACCGGAAGAGGGAAACAAGTTAAACACTTGAACTACTTTAAAATGTATTTAGCAACTTATTGTCAAAAGAGGGATGACATGAGCAAGTAAGAACAGAGAATATCGTTTTAAAAAGGCTCGAACTGAAGGGATGCGACATGAAAAAGAATGATAGATATGATGATAAATTACAAAAAGGTTGGAAATGAAATCAAACCGTCTGGGAAGTCAAAACTGTGACTGAAATAAAGTAGACAAATACACAAAGACAGATGAAAAAAGGAAATAAGTCTTGGTAAATCATCCATTTGAAAAGCATATTTGATTTGTAGTCTCATCCAACTTGTCAACATGTTATTAATAACGAGCATCTGATGTATTTTCTTGAAATCCATCCTCTTACAGAAGACAAACTGCTGATCCATCCCCGGCCAAACACTGACATGAATTATTAATTTGACGCATTCATCACTCTTCCGACCAGCCGTCGATAGCCTCCATTATGGCGGGTGTGTATACATTACAGAGTGTATAGTGTGTCAGAAACTTCCCGCATACGAGCCGCTGGATGGCGGGAAGGGAGGAAGACGGAGAGAGGGAGAGAGGGAGAGAGGGAGAGAAAGAAGGGCTGATGGACAGGAGTGACAGCGGAGAGCATTAGCTTCAGGAGGCGAGATATCAGAGAAAGATATCAGGCAGAGAGGAAGAGCTGGAGGAGGGAAGGAGAGTGGCGTTTCGTCATTCAAACTGCACAGTGGAAGTCAAGAAATGCAAAGTACGAAGTGTTAAAGTAAATAAATATATCAAAATAGACATCCTGACAACAGGTCATGATGACGTGCTGAAGAACACATCTTGATATCATGCATGTTATCTAACGTACTATGAGTATAAACAAAGTTGCAAGTATTAAAGCTTGTTTCGTGTCTCCTTTGTAAGATATCCAGGAATTATTCAAGAGAGCGTCAGGTCTGTTATTCAACTTTAGGGGACAGCACATAACTTCTACATAAACACTTCATAAATGTACGTTTTCATTCAAGAGAAGTAGACTATTAGGAGAGGCCTTATTATGCTTTGGGGTTTTCCCTTTCATATAGTGTGTTAAAAAGGTGTTAGTGCATATAAATAGTCTGTAAAGGCTAACATCCATGTGTGTTGTGTGTTTGTACGTGATAGGCTAAGGGGCGGGACATCTCTAAGCGGTTGACCAATCACAACAGAGCCAGCCAGCTAACCAATCAGAGCAAACTGGGCTCTGGTTTCAGACAGTATGAGAGAAATAAAGAGCTTTTTGAACATTAAAGCATGGAGACATGTCACAGTAGAGACACTACATACTGATATACACCTGAACATCAGCAGGAGAGGACTCTTTAAAGTAGAGACACTACATACTGATATACACCTGAACATCAGCAGGAGAGGACTCTTTAAAGTAGAGACACTACATACTGATATACACCTGAACATCAGCAGGAGAGGACTCTTTAAAGTAGAGACACTACATACTGATATACACCTGAACATCAGCAGGAGAGAACTCTTTAAAGTAGAGACACTACACACTGATATACACCTGAACATCAGCAGGAGAGGACTCTTTAAAGTAGAGACACTACATACTGATATACACCTGAACATCAGCAGGAGAGGACTCTTTAAAGTAGAGACACTACATACTGATATACACCTGAACATCAGCAGGAGAGGACTCTTTAAAGTAGAGACACTACATACTGATATACACCTGAACATCAGCAGGAGAGGACTCTTTAAAGTAGAGACACTACATACTGATATACACCTGAACATCAGCAGAATAAAGCCCCAAAGAAATGTCATTCTGTTAAAATGTGTATGACCTTTCACATAATGGACCAATTATCTTTAAATATATATATATATAGTGTATTTGCTTATTTATCTGGAGGGAATGAGGGGTCAGCTTGGGAGTTTACAAATGTTTTAATGGACGCTTAATTATTAATGTTAATGTTCAAACAATATTGATATATTTGTAAGGAAATAAATGATTGCTGATACTGTATGATTACAGTAAATGCTGCTGATTATATACAAAGTGAGAATATTAACATTTCAATGAAGAACTGACTCCCTGACTTGCATCTGTAGCCAGCCTGAGGTGAGCGCTGTTTATTTGAATTCGAACGGCATTAGAAACTTCAACAAGCTCATTCATTTCCTCCCATTGAACTTTGGGAGTAACTGTGCGTTAAATTAGTGTATTGTTAGAGAAGAGAGAGTGTGTGTGAGATCACAGAGAGCCAAACGCTGACGCACTGACAGCCTCAACGGCTAATGAACAGATGAAGTCACACAGCCTCGCTACGCTAACGAGAAGCTAATGGACGGTGGGGCTGATGACCGCCAAGTCAGGCTGCAGAGTAAACAGCAGGGGCAAGGAACCATCACTTTGACTCACACACACACACACACACACACACACACACACACACACACACACACACACACACACACACACACACACACACACACACACACACACACACACACACACACACACACACACACACACACACACACACACACACACACACACACACACACACACACACACACACACACACACACACACACACACACACACACACACACACACACACACACACACACACACACACACACACACACACACACTTAATGCAGCTCCACCCTACAGTACGTCAAACTTAAACAAAGAGCGAGACAAAAGCTAAACGGCTGCTTTGTTTCAAAATCAGCTTGACACTGACCTCAGCTACAGCACACACACACACACACACACACACATTAATACACATGAGCGTGCAGGTACAAGTGTGTGTAACAGATTGTGTCCGTTCACACTAATGTGACTGCTTGCATGTGTGTGAATGGGTGTGAGCTCACAGCTAATCACCTAAAGAGAGGAAGTCCAATAAATCAGCAGAATGCAACTCTCACACTGTAAATCTGCACTGACACGTCATCGCTGTGTGTGTGTGTGTGTGTGCGTGTGTGTGTGTGTGTGTGTGTGTGTGTGCGTGTGTGTGTGTCTGTGTGTGTGTGTGTGTGTGCGTGTGTGTGCGTGCGTGCGTGCGTGCGTGTGTGTGTGTGTGTGTGTGTGTGTTAATGAAAGACAGCATAAGAAAGCCGGTGAGTGAAACTATCTCTAAGGTACTTTTTTATCACAAGAACTGTCTCCTTTTTAATTCTGTGGCTGCATCATGAAAGCTTCTAAATACCAACACCTTTTATTTGATTAACACATTTGGTTTTATGGGGAATTGCATGTGTTTATCATCAACTGAGAAGCTTTTCTTTAACTAGAGACAAGTCTGCTGATACCGTAGGGTGAGCAGAAACAGCCGCAGTGAGATGTTAAATAAGATAAGATGTATAATGTTTTCATCACAGCACTAATGCTCAAAGACGCTTTACATAAAATCAGAACAGAAACGGTACAAAGAAAAACACTAACAGTAGTCCTAGTCCCAGTGCGGAGTAAAATGGTTGAACGTTTGAAAGTGAATGAGTGAGTTTTGAGATATTTTTTGAAGGAAAGATATCCATATCAGCAGTGCAGGAGTGACACAACCGAATGGTGTGTGTGTGTGTGTGTGTGTGTGTGTGTGTGTGTGTGTGTGTGTGTGTGTGTGTGGTGTGTGTGTGTGTGTGTGTGTGTGTGTGTGTGTGTGTGTGTGTGTGTGTGTGTGTGTGTGTGTGTGTGTGTGTGTGTGTCTGACCTGGCTGTACGTGGCGTCCAGCAGTGTGTCCAGGTTCTGGAGGGGGGCCGGGGTCTTGTCTTTGAATCGGGTCAGCAGGCGGCGCTGGATGGCTCTGAACTGGACGGCCCGCTCAGACAGCAGATCCTGGTACTGCTGAGCACTGACACGCAGCTAACACACACACACACACACACACACACGCACACACACACACGCACACACACACACACACACACACACACACACACACACACACACACACACACACACACACACACACACACACACGCACACACACACACAGAGGGAGATAGAACACATTGTTTAGGAAACACTCAGGGTGAATTTAGCCATGAGTTTGAGACCAATGTGTCTTTTTTTCTCAGGAAGGTTTCTAACGGAGTGACCTTGAATGAGTAGCAGCCATGATACGAGCTGTTTGAATTATCTAGTTGACAGGAAAGGAGTTTAAATGAAAGCTCCTTAATTATCTCTTTTTAGCAGAGGAAACAATGGAAAATCATTCACAAAATTGAGAGAGGTAATTCTGTCCCACAATAACTTATCATTTCTCGGATGACAAACACAGATCACGTAAGCTACAGTGCTTGTTAATCATTTTGCATCTTATGTTGTAACTTTTTTAATTGCTTATATGTTAAACCAAAAGGCAAATGACTGTAATTAATGTGAAATGATCAAATGAATCAACAGTTTCCCTTAAATCCTTAACCCCACGTCAATGTATTCGACTGAGGTTAAGGAAAAGGGGTTCGGAACAGACATAGGACCTGGTTAGTTTTTGACTGTCAACTCTTGTGTGTACCTGGAAGTGGTGGTCTACAGACAGGAAGTACTCCTGCAGGGGGAGCGGTCCACTGAAGCTCTTCTTGAAGTCTTGCACTCCCAGTGTGGAGAAATGCTGATCGAATCTCTGCACCAACTCATTCACCACCAACCACATGTCCTCAAAACGGTCGCTCTGAATACGGTAACGCTCTGACAAACACACAGACACACACATTCAGGCAGGGTATGTGAACATGACAATTATACCTATCAATGAACATGAAAAGCATTTTGATGTGACTTGAGAAAAGTAAAAGATAGCATCTCTATTAAAAGGCTGTGAAAAAACGTAAAAAGGTAGATGTTTAAATGGGTTATACGAATT